GCAATGAAACACACCAACTCAACATCCAATTTTATTTTGCAAAACTTGAAAGAGTTTTGTAAATAAATTTTGTTATACAGACTTTTTCTAACCTTTAAAAAAAATCATTTACAGAGGACATCAAAAAGTAGACAGAGAACAATGACTTTAGAGGCATTCATGCATTACTTACTTTTCAGGTGGTGAAGAGAACACTTCTTCATCCTTAGTTCCACTACTGTCCTGAGGTTTACACGTGTCTGTAGAGTCCACGCTACTTATCTCCTTCTTCATCAGCTGCTGTAGTTCTAAGGACGTGTCAGAACTCTCCGACTGGTTAGAGTCCTTTCTCTCCAGAGCCTGCTTCTGCAGTACTTGTGTCCTCATTTCATCAGCACTAGAATGTCTTCTTCTGTCATCTTTATCCTTCTGTATGAAATAAAACATCTTTAAACACCATGTATATTCTGAAAGATTTGCAAAACTTTACAGAGATGAATATTTTACCTTTTAAAACTTAGAGGCATCATACATTCTAACAAGCATATCAAATGATTCTTTATCATCAATTACACTTTATCAAAGTAATTAAATCAGTGACATGAAACTTATTTTCACAATAAGGACATCCAGGACACAAACATTTAACATGCTTATTAATGTCTTTACCTCATTCATTTCATCTATTTTGTAGTAGAACCTTGGCGAGGAGGAAGCAAAGCTTTGGAACAACGGATCATCTGTGTCATCCTCAGTGTCCTCAGTCTCAATCTCATGGTTGTACCTTTCTAAACGAGCTACAATAACAAATGGTATACTGTATTTCTAACATCAATATATACTCAACAGTCTACTATATCAGCAAAAAGATACTGGAGTACATATATGTGGAAATCATACTAATTAAACTCTAATACTCTTTATCCGAAGATAAAATTGTTCATTGTCACCTGCATAAAGTGAGCGCTCCAGAAAAAGAACAGGAAATTGAAATCACTAAGCCATTGTGCCATTTTCTGGACTTACTATCAAAGTAACTAGTGTCCTCTTCACTTTCTAGTTCTGGGATGAACTCGGCTTTCTGTCTCAGTAGCCCAGCCCAGTCCAGGTTCATAAAGAAGATGTGTTCCTTAACCTCCTGTGCCCCGCCTGTACCCAGTCTATTTATAGGATTGTGCTGTAACAGCTGGGTGATCAGATCTCGTGCATCGTCCCTCACCTGCCATTCTTCTTCTTCTGGCCATTCAATGTCCTCTGTAAACAGGTCAGAAAAATAATTACAGTTGTCTCCCTTTGCCCATTACTAGTATACATATTTCACTTCATCTAGTATTATCATGTACATGTAAAATTAGACTACTCATCACCATTTATAACTTGAGAAAATAACTCCTCAGATGTGTTTCCAAAAAATGGTGGACAGCCAACAAGAAATTCATAAAGAATGATTCCCATTGACCACCAATCCACAGGTTTTCCTGAAAGGTAAAAGGATGAAAGGTCATACAATATAAATTACACTGTTTTTACAGCTTCAACAATCAAGATACTGTAGACTTAGCGAGCAATGTTTACCATATCCCTTTCTAAGGATGACCTCTGGTGCAATGTACTCCGGTGTACCAATCACTTGTTTATCACTGAATTCTTTACAGTCCTGTTCTAACGTACCCTCGTACAGGTTTGTTGTTACTGGAAATGCAAAAGCATGTGATGTACTTTGTTCTTCACAGTATCAAGATATTCTGATGGGGAAAAATAATTCAAATTGTTTTTTGTTTTTTGTTTTAAACACAGTGTATTAAATATTTCTGAGTATACTTACAACTCATAAGTCCTATTTTTGAAAGCCCAAAATCTGTGAGTTTTATGTGGCCAGTGGCAGTTATTAAGAGGCTATAAAAAAATTCAGTGTTTAGCAAAATTTCATGATTGTTGAAATCAAGTTATATATTGGAGACAATATACTTATAATTAAGATCATTAAATGATTTTAAAGAAAATAAAACGTTAGATAAACTAAAATATTAACTCACTTGTCTGGTTTGAGATCACGATGAACAATTCCATAGCTGTGGAGATATTCCAATGCCAAGACTGTCTCAGCAAAATACATCCTTAAATATACAGAATCTCCAGTTAGTCTTAACTAATGTAACAAATTCCATAATCAAAGACAACATCAATTTAAGACATACATTTATACATGTCCATGTAATAATAATGATTACCAATAAATTTCTTAATTACTGAAACACATCACTTTGTATTCATTTAACCTTTTTTTTTTTTTTTTTTTTTTTTTTTTTTCTCTCCATACTATCAATATTCAGGTGTACACTTTGCTTACCTGGCCAGATCAAAAGGAAGAGGACCTGCCTTGTGGATCAGAGTCGCACAGTCCCCTCCTTCTACATACTCCATTACCATACAAAGATGGCGCTACGAATAAACGTGACAAACTTGTTACTTGTAATAACATTCACTACATTAAAATGTTTGCAGTTCTTAATTTGACTTAATGATAATGTTACAAAGAAATAAAAGAAATGATCATTTACTTTCACCATGTAAAGCCAAATAAACTCCATATTTTTTTTTGGGGGGGGGGGGGGGGGGGGGGGGCTCTTATATGTAATGTACTCTGATTTTCAGACCTACCTTGGTTTCAAAGCTGCAATACATGCTGACAACAAATGGGTTTTCTGTGAAGCTGAGAATGTCCCTTTCAGTAAATACCTGCTCCGTCTGATTGCGTAGAATTAAATTCTGCTTACAAATCTTCTTCATTGCAAATCTTTGTCGAGATTCTTTATGGCGTACAAGATAAACAGCACTAAAAGAAAAGAGTTTATCAACTGCTGATAGTTTTATACTGATAAATAAATAATTTTTACAAAATAGCAAAAGATTAAAATATGATACATGTATTCTTAATTATATATAATATTCCATAATGAAATATTTTTGTTTTCTATATTCCAGTCAAATGATCATCATATGTTGTTTACTTCTATAATAACTTACGCATAAGCTCCATTGCTGATTAATTTAATTAATTCAAAGTCTTCCTCAACTGGAGTGTGAAATTTGTATACCCGTCGTTTCTGAAAAAAAAATCAGTGTAAAAAATTCCATACAATATTACTCAAAAAACCACCTGGACATATTCACATGAAATATCCACAGTTTACCTGTGTAATTTCCTCTGTGATGGAGGAATCAAGCTCTGAGCCAGCAGTATCACCATCAGTGAGGTCTGTAAAAATAAAAATGGTTACTATAAAGATTTAGTTATAATGAAAAAGCACTTTGCAATATACACTTCTATTTTCAACAGAAAAAAAAACAAATGCCATAAATTTTAAATATTAAGAAAAAAAGAGAAAAATGCCATTCAAAAAACTTGTAATACTCTAAAATCAGTAATTATTGTGAGGTTTTATTTTCATTGTTTTCTTGGAATGTAGAGACTCACGAAATCATGTTCCCTATGAAATGTTAAAATCTCATACTGTGGTATGATGTTTCTCCTTTAACCACGAAAACAACCTCCCTAGATTTTTTGCTCAAACCATGAAAATTTGAACCCACAAAAATAAGTGATTTTACAGTAGATAAAATGCTGCTCATCAGACCTTCCAGTGGGTCCCTATTCAGGCCTAGTTTACTGATTATGTATTGTGGAATGTCACATTTCATGTGTTCTTTAGCCTGTCCCTCTGCCACCTCAAGAAGCTGATAAAACTTCTCTGGATCAAACTCCTACAATTTCAGCAGAATCCATTCATGAAAATTAGTTGCATTTTACAAAAAAATGCTTGCTGCAATAATAACTTCGTGAACAAGATGTATTACTTGTCCACTTTTAATTTTTTTTTTTTTAACAAAGGAAAATGTATTGTGTAATTATTCTGTATTTCTTACTAAGCACTCCAGTAATCTTGAGGGTCTAGAGATTATCAAATACAAGTTCTTGATGACTGGGTAGAGAAACTCGTAAGCAATATCTTCTCTTTCTTGTGCCTTCAAACATTGCAAAAAAAAAAATCTTAATTAATAAACAACACTGCTTTCACTACCTTCAAAACCAAGCTTATATACCGGTACACATAGTATCCTATCATTCTTGAAAAAATCCATAAACTGTACCATAATGAGTAGCACTCACATCAATAAGTAATTTCTCTAGTTTCTCAGAGAGCTCAAAGAAGTAAGTTCCTGTGATTTGCTTGTCCTGTGATTTCTGGAGACAGTCACGAGCCAGCTCCATCACTTGGTGGTGCAGGAACCTTGTGATGGCATCACAATCCACCTCCTCCAGCTTGTTTTGTTCTAAAAATTTCTTCAACTTCTCCTCCATTTGGGCAGTGGCCTATCAAAAACACAACAGGTGTCAGCCAAATAATTAGATACAATGTACATATTTGCTGTTTATGTAGGAAAGATGGAATAAAAAGGAAAGAAATATATGTGCCTGATCATTTTCACCATATTTAGAATAATGACATTTGTTTGATGGCAGAAAATACAAAACTTGTTAAATTAACTTTTGTAAAGGAAGGAATCACTATTTCCTTTTCTCATTACATTTTTATGATAATACCACAATTATCTGTAAAAGGGGGTAACTGATGAGTACCTTGGGAAATCTTTCCTTATAAACACTGTTCATCATGACAATCTCATCCCCACATGGAGAAACCATTGGACTACTATATAAACAGACAGAATATACATTTAATTACTGGAAAAATGATTAATATCAATGTTAATATTCAATTTCCTCTAATGATAATTAGTGCTTCTTTACAGCTAACTAATCAAATTCTGCTTCAATTAACAAAACAAAACCAGACTTTATTTTTATTCATTAAGTATTTTAAAAATTTCATATAATATAAAAATTAAAACATAAAAAGCAGAAGCTACACTACACTTGCTAACTCATTTTTTTTTTAAATCAATTCTGTGTAGAAATTATTTACATGTGTTAAATTCATTATGATCTCTTGAATATATTTTCAACTGTTTCAAAGCCAGGTATATATACGGTATTACAGTCATGTAATTTGTTTTTTAAGATACACATTCTTTGTTAACATACATCATATATATGTTTTTGATACACAGTTTATATGTTTCAACAGTAAAATACAGATTTCTTGTTTTCATGCATGGATTATAAATTCTGTTGACTATTATATGGAGTTAATATGTACAATACTGGAAACACAAGACCAATTTTACCTATAAGTACATAAATTTATAATTCCCTTCCCTTTGTCCGATACTATCATTATTTCAAATATACTGATTCTTTTGTTTTGGATGAAATGAAATAATTTCAAGAGCTGATTCACTCTAACCCAATAATGTACTGAGGATATACTGAAACTAAATGCCCAATTTTAAAAAAAAAATTAAGTCATCATCTAATCAATGCCACTGAATTGCTTACATCTTCTTTTATATCTATTAAATTTCTTTTTAGCTCTAAGCAATTGTTAAATTAAAAAAAATCAATAATTAAAAAAAAGGACAAAATTCATTGGAAAAACTACAAACATTTCTAATTAATAAATATTTGCAATATTTGTTTTTCAAATTATTATATTGGTATTGCTGTTGATTTTATGATAATTTAGAATTTCTTGCATATGACACATGCAAAAAATGGGAAAGATGTGTACAAAAGTTTTGCAATACTAAATAAGACTTGAAAATAAATGGCAATATCATGTTCATGAAGCAAAAGATCTAACATTGAAGCAATTTATATTACAAACTAACAAATAGCACTGCATGGTGTTTACACATAGCATTGACAGGATGTACCATGTGTACAGCACACTACAGATAGATTTCTTATAAACAATACACAAATAAAAAAAGATTGTTGTAGAAACTCTTACTCAAGTGCAAGCCAGGACAAGCTATCCGTTAAAGCAGGAAATCAAAATTAGTCATGTACTAAAATAATACTGAACACTGGAATATGTAATGTGATATAAATTCTATGACTTTATCCTTTTTATATATTGTTTTTTCTTCTTATAATTCTGATTGTATGGAATAAACACAAAAACCCTAAAACTAAATATGTATCAAAGTTGAGAGGGAAAGAAAAAAGAATGAGAAGTACCTACATTATGCACACAACCTATCACAGCTTTTAAGCTACTCTGTATATGAATATAAATTCCACTCTTGACCATAAACTCAATGTCCTTGAATAATTTATTAACTTCCTCAATTTCTATTAATTAGTAATCCTCAATATGATTCAATATAATTGACATGCCTTTATTATTTCAAAAATACAATTTCCTTTTTCGAATTAAGAAACTGATAAAGTTAATATGGCCGGATTGCACTTTTGTGGTGTTAAAAGAACGTGATGAAAATAGTGGAATGAAAATTTTTCATTCACTTGTGTCAAAGGTCAAGGTCATCAAAGGTCAGGGTCATCAGGATGGGCTCTCTTTAAAACATTTCAACCAGATTTACCAATGAGATAGCCATTACCTCTAGAACATCAATAAAGCAATAAATTCAACAGCTAAATGAATTTACTGATGGAGATGAGCAGAGAGAGAGACACTATTCATCTATACATTGGATTTTCCTTTGTAACCCGGCCAAGAACTTAACAATAAAATAATGTTCTGCAAGCGATTATTATTGTAACAACAACAAAAACAGCAGCGAGAAGTAGAGTTCAGGGTGAAGTGAGATCTACCAATCAAAAACACTCACCTGAGACTGCGGGACCTGGGTCGTAAGAGGGGGGAAAGGGGGGATTTCCTTCCCTCCTCATCCCCTTCATTTCCGCTGAGGGTGTACTCCTCTTGGGGAGGCTGATATTGGTGAAGACGTTCTTGAGATGAGTATTGAGACTATCAAAAAGGCAACAACAAATTGTTCAAGTGATTTACAATGACTATGGGTAATATATTTATCACTATCTTGAGTGGCTTTTATTTTTGTTGTGTTTTACATCCAATTTGAAAACTTTTATCAGAAAAAGGTAAAAAATATCTTTCTTGATATTTTCTTCATCTTCATTTTCATTGAAAGCCCAAATAAAAAAGATGTAGATGAAATCTGTGTGATATAGATGTTTAGGATTACCGAAACATTGGAGCTGCCTGGAGTATTTGTTCCGTAACCCGAGGAAGGCAGGGAAGCAAAGGACCACCGTCTTCCATCACACCTGACGCAAAAATGATAAAATACACATTTATATGTCTGTAGCCCGGCCCTCCCATTACCTCTTTGCATGAAACATTTTGAACATTTTATAATTTTAATGTGCTGGGTCATGACAAGTACTTCGAAGAGACTAAAGTTTTGTTTTATTGAATGTTGTAATTCTCTCCGAGATTTTAAACATTTGATAAGTTTGGCGAGACTTTGTGACACTGTATGAAACGGTTTCATACTTCCTGACATTCTGGAAGAGGAAGTTGCCGTGCTGACTAGGCGACATGTTCCTGGGACTGTCATGGGGACTACTTCCTGTCAAAATAAAAAATAAACATTATTAAAAGTATTACATACATGTACATGTCCTATCAACACACACAAATTCCACATCAAGATAAATGACATAATACAATACATGTATATGTAGTATTCAAAGACATTTTTTGATATTTATGTGTGTATGCATTATATGCATACACTTTGTAAACCTGAAAAAATTTCACTTGAATGTTCAAGTACCGTACCTCAGAATATTTTTCCCAAATAATTTATCACATGCATATCACAAATAAGTTATTTATAGTTTAGAGGGTGTGGTTCATCAAATTTAACTTTAACACAATTTATGGATTCCTACATATATCATTGAAATTTTACTACCACATACCAAATTTAAAAAAAGAAAACAAAAAAACAAGTTCCTCTCTCTCTCACTCTCTCTCTCTTTCGACAGATAGTTATTTATCATGTGATTATCAAATTACAAGGATGCCATGGCCTGGATCGATTCCCTGTAACCTTCAAGATTCATATGTACTACGTATATAGGAACAGTTTCAAACAGCCAATAAATTTAATTACACTAGATGAAATCCCGCGCAAGCGCGGGGAATTGAATTTATACCACTACCGACAGAAAATATATTGTAGTTCTCTATTGACAGCCTACCGGCTTATAGCAGGAAAAAATACTTTGTTCAGCATGCAGGAATAAATACTTTGTTCAAAATCCCGCATGAAGTAGATTTACCTGTCCAATCCCCCCCCCCCCCAACAACCCCCCTTTTTTTGTTTTATTTATTTATTTATTTATTTTTAAACTTGAAAAATAGCAATTTCATTAATTGACGTTTATTGTGAAACCTGTTATACTGTGTTATGGATATTGTACTTCAGATGCTCTTATTTCATTTCCGTCAAGGATAAAAGCAACGAATATGAACATTTTACTAATGAATTGATGGGGGGGGGGGGTAAAAATTCACAGGTACTTGGATCTTGGTTTATAAATATGTTTGTACCTTATTGATATGTAAAAATGTACTTTACTTTTTTACCTGTCAATAAGGTACATACATATTTATAAACCAAGTACCTGTGTAAAAATTAGCTTTTATCGCCCTATGAATAGGCTGAGTATTTGATACAAAAGACTAAGCTGCAATAATGTAGCCCTCTCCAATTTTTTTTTTATTTGATCTGATATTTTCTGGCCTCTCTCTCTCTCTGCCCCTCCCCCCCCCCCCCCCCTCAAAAAAGGAGCGGGCTACATTATTGCAGCTATAAAAGATTGTATTTAGAAATTAACTGTGCATTGATTAAAGCGCAAAATTTTACATCTTTAATTGTATTTGAACAATACCTTATTCATTAATTTTCTCTTTTCATGTAAGCAAGTACAAATTGTACTTCGGATTCGTTGTCACGATGCGCTCAGTAGGAATATATACAAATTTTATCGATAAATTTATTAGGAAAACCTACTACATACATGTAAATGTAATAGTCTTTCGATATATAATTATATTCACAACTTATAGTGTTATCAGTGATTTACCGTTATTTCAATTATGACCATTTACACGAAAAAGCTTTTCTTATGGTCATGTAGCTATAATCTCCTCCTTTTTTTTCTTAATATCGGGCTCGATGGTATATGATGTTCTAGAAGCTTCCGTCAATATAAAGATCGGTGAATGACGAAAATATTTTGCACATTTCCCTTTTTAATCGGTTATCACAACTTATTTCTTTTATATCATTTAAATCGAGTTCTAATTGAATAATTCAGTGATGACGTTTTATGTAATAAATAAACGATTGCTTGTTGTCAGTTTCATTAAAAATTGCCAGTAACTTAGATCCGCCAACCGGAAACGCCACCGTACTCACGTTTTAGCTATTTCATGGCTGTTTATAGAAAATGAAAGTAGACTTTTAATTTAATGTTCGATACTAACTATGCGAGTGAAATCTAAATATAGTTTACGGACATCAGCTTGTATCTAGTGTATTGTTAGAGGAGTAAGTAAGAACTCTGGTGCACCCGTTTCGGAGTTTATTTGCAAAATTTATTAATTTATAAGTATAGATACCAACACCACCTGCTCATGTACAAGTTTGATATTCTACACCACTACTTATTTTGGCCAATTGTTTTATATATTCTTCACAAATTCAACATCTTTACATAGAAAACATTGGGATAAAATCACTTATATCATAATACACCAATTCCTTTAGTAATTGTGAAAATATCTAAACTTTGAGAGTGTTTATAAAGTTTCATTAAATTCGTTGGTCAGACAATGTCATTCACATGGTGACATAGTCCACTACAGTTTACTGGGGCTTACAATTTCATCTTTAACTTAATCAACATTGGCAATTACAATTCTTAAATTTCATAATTCTGGTTAGTATTTACCAGGAATAGTTCTTATTTCCAATTCTTAAATGTTAAATTCAGAAATATATTAAACAAATATACAACTGATTAAGACAACTGCACTGCCAGGACTACCAAACAATGAGTTACTGAATTCTAAATTTTAAATTCTTAATAGTTCCTTTTAAGTAGATTCTTTGTGTATCGATCATCACAATTCAAAAATGCAACATGATGTCAAGTATATGCAACCTGGATTAACAATTCAGCCTCTCCTATTGTCACCCACTCATCATTTTTATTAAAGCTTTGTCACATAAATAACGGCACAAGTAATTCTGTGTTCAATTTTCGACAAGACAAGACGGCATTTTTACTGTAATCCCTGTATTATACAAAGATGAAATCTGTGATGTAAATCATCAAAGTGCTGATTAATCAGAGTAATAATGAAACTACGAAACTAGAAACAACATATACATACTGGAGAGAAAATCAAGTTTGTAGGAGAAATTCGTGGTACTAAGATAAATAATGAATGAAGATCTCCATCAATAAATGATGAAAATCTCCATTAATCATGCATGATGTTAGATGACTGTTTTTCATTTTTTCATAAAAACCCACTTGAATTTTTATTATTAAACTGAATAGACTAAGATAAACATAATTCGTTTACACTCTTTGTATACAGTAAAATTTGTCTAATCTGGACAACACTGGTTTAAAAGAAATTGGCCTGATTGGACAACATTCTGGATCAGACATTTTAAACAACTGAATTTACTAAAAGGGGCAAAGTTAACATCATGCATATATAAGGCAAGATTTCAGAATACACATCATTCGGATTATTCAACCTTTACCATATATTTTGAATTTTTTATTTTACCTGCATCATGCAATATATCAGGCAATTAAAAATAAAGAATCGACTTTCTACCAAAACTCTACAAAGGTTAGTTATATATTCATAAGTCCTTCGTTTACTGATCTTCAAAATGAAACCATTTTTAATATGTAAAAAATAACTTTCCCATTCTGATAAATTGTTACTTTAGGTATATTTTGTTTATAACTAATTTATTTTATTTTTTGACAGCAAAATTACACCTTGAACAAGTACATATGCTGATAGAAACTATGACTCTTATTTGCTCATACATTTTTACACTGGTAGCCACTTAATTCAAGAACAAAATCAAAGAACCTTTGTTCTTGCAAGCTCATCCATTCTCATTTCCTCAGCCTATACCTACTAAAACGAGATCTAAATAAGGTTATATAATTTCATTGGGGCCTAATCATTTCAATCTTACAAGTATTTTCATATCTATCTTTAGTTACCAAACTTAGGGTCCAAACCTAACTTCATATGTAAACTGACTGAAACCAGTAATATAAATTGCAGTGTTGACATAATAAGAGCTAAATATTATGGGCAAGTTTATATGGATTAAGCTGATCCAGGTTAACCTAATGTTGACGAATCCTATATGAAAGGTACTTGCATTGTTGCACAAAAATTATTCAATCAACCTTTTTAACTTGCTAATCTTTTGTTTACAAATATCTGATATCATCTGGACAAAAACTGATAACTTAGATATATATGTTCTATATCTTCGTAGTAAAAATAGATTTATACAGGAAAATACCAACTCAAAAGGTGTACACAGGTACCATAAATACCTGGAATTAAGCTTCGTTTTCTGATCCGTGACCGGCCTCGATATCTGAGACATTCCTCCAGTTCCTCAAAAGAGAGGCTCTCCACTGGACCAGACATCCACGGATTGATGTAATGTCTCTTGAATAACAAGGCGTCATCGTCCATAGTGCTAATCTCCACTATAGATGATGCCCCTTCAGACTCTGGCGCTATCAGTCAACATAACATGTCATTTGCTAGATTAAACAGATTTCTAGGAGAACAGCTTCAGGAGAACCTTTATGTCGCAGCACAGAAATGATCCCTTCGCTCTCACCAATCAATACAAATGACAGGAGAAAAGCAGTTGTTTTCATACAAAGTGTTCCATAAAAGCTCACTTCACAATAATTTCATTAAAAATATATAACATTTTTCCTCCAGAGGCATTTACACAGACTGCTAAATGCATGATGTGCAGCCTGCATATGCCTCAATACCTCCGTATCACAACCTGCATTCATTAGCAAACAAAAAAAAAAAAAGAAGATAATTATATTGGATTTCCAGGAACTATCTATTGCAAAGGTTCTTGCCCTTCTTCATTTTCAGCTGCTCCTTGATCTTCACAAACCTTTAAGTATTTGGATTATATGAAGAAATAGCCTTTGGATTTCTAGCTGGCTAACTTCATTGGCTGCTCCCCTTAAGACTTTGAAATCACTCTCCGAGGAGTTTATCATGCAATCTTAGCATTTACCAAGAAATTATATATGATGAATTCCTGAAAGTTTCCATAATCATTCATTATTAAAGACAGTGTTAAGACACACAATCTATGAATTAGGAAGAAAAAGGAAATGATTTTCCAATAAGATGGAATGTTGATCAATACAAAATCAGGAGTGCTGAATGAGCATAAAAACATACACACAATAAATGCTTCATATCAATGCTGATCCTGCTCACTGAGGTTAATGAAAAAAAGATAAT